CATGCCTACCGTACATGTACACCAGCAACTGCTTCCAGAACAGCACGGCGACCAGCGTACGACCTGATTTGGTCTGAGCCAATGGAAGTGGTGCCATTCAGATGGTCATCAGCATACGGTACATGTACATATATATGTGTGCACTCACCAGACTCAATGTATGAATGGTACACTTGACTGGCACATTGTGATGTTATCGATATTATCCCCAAACATGAGCAAACAGATTGAATTGCTACCGCAACAAGATGGTAACTTTGAGCTTGACAACAGGAAGTTTTCCCACTTAAACAGGAAATTTCTTACTTACTGGATCAGTCTATTGGGATCTTTTGATTCCCACTGAATCTTACAGTGGGCACCTTACTTGTACACTATGTAGTTTCAGGACTGTTTGGGGGTGAATTTCAAGGATTTTGATCAGGAGTATGGACGTATGAGCTATTCTGAGTGAAATTAATGTTGCACTGGGCCTATAGAACTTGAAGATTCTGGGACTCCTGACCATGCCCAAATGTAAAAGAGGCAATTCGTAGAGTTGTTGTTACTCGGACTACAGAAGGAGTTTGCAAACAAGTCAATTAGCTTGGGACGCACACGCGGAAATGTGCCACTCAAAATTTTAAGCTCAAAAATCATTGAGATACATTAAATGTGATACAATGAACATGATGTAGAGCCGAATTATGCCAGTGGAATGAACTTTCATGTTTTGCGTCTACCACCCGCAACATTATTTTCATTATTTATAAAAAAATCATTATTATTAAAAAAAATCTGAATTTTTTCTTGTTTTCTTTTCTCCCACCCCCCAAAAAACACTGCATAAAAATATAAAAGTGCCAATAAAGTGTCACTTCCCTTTCTACTTACTGTTAGTACACATACATGTACGGTACCTCCATGCACACTGGATAAAAACAACTAGATGTAGCCCTAGCTGGCTTGGCCAGCCACAACCCAAGGCAAACATGTACACTATCCTAATGCACATGTACACCAACAAGCTTGATTGCTGAGAAACTTCAAAGATTAAAAAAGATGGACAAAATTCAAGTACTGAACAATCTGATTGGCTGAAGTCTGGAAGGTCACAGCCAAATGGCCAATAGCAGTTGCTGTTTCAGCGTACATGTATCAAGTTTGGAAACGAAAAGGTTCTTGTTTGATGATCCTGTGCACGGACTTCTCATGACCATGGGAACGTGAGCAACGGACTCTTGCACTGCTTTTCTCCGTGCAATTTACAATGAATGAGATATTTTCATTGATGTTTGAGTGATACATATACATGTACATGTATTTAAACTTGATGGCTTAATTGATGTAAATGAATACGGTATTTAAGCGCAATGCTTATGGATTAAACATGTACATGTATGCATGCAAACTAATTTTCAATTTCAACATATTTCAGTTTTCACATGCAAAACATGAAGTTGTATTCCCGTACCTTTAGTATTGTGAACACATTAAAGAAATGTTTCTGAATTTGGATTTTTTTTTTATCAAAATAGTGGGTGGCTGAGTCAATTTATCTTGCTGAAATTAAAAATTCACTTTTCATTGAATAAATTAATTAAAGAAAAAGGAATTAATCGTTTGACTTGAATGAACTACGCACTGCGCCAGCATTTTTGAAATTGCGATCTTTTCCAGCTTCGTTCACAGATACTGACACATGTAGACTGGCCTGTGCATCGTGTACATGTACATGTGAAACTCCATGAGTGAAGGTGATTTATCGGTAGACTTTGAAGCCGGGGCCAGCCTGGCATTCGTAGCAGTTATAAGCCTTACAATGCAGCAGGGTACCTATGTGCACAATCAGCTTTCACAGCGCCAGCGTTGATTACCAGTTACTTTTACCGCTGGATTGTTCAGCTACATGTACTTGAATCCAAAACTAAAAGGACAGCTGCATGGCTTGGTACTACATGTACATGTATGTGCTGCATGATACAAATTCATGTTTGAGTGCTCAGCATAATAACAAGCACCGAGTTTATTTTGAGCATTATCTGAGCAAGGCTCAAACCAATGCAACTACGTAAAACCAATGCACACGTGCACCTGCAGCGTACAGCATTTGACGGTAGCACGTGTACCGGTAGGCCTACAATGTAATCTAATAACTGTATGAAGTTTGTATGAATTTGTCTAGATGAGGGTATATGGAGTCATAATAAAACAGCCGTCATTGGAAATAATTTGTCAACTCCGCAGGCATCCCCTAATCGTGAAGCAACTTGCATCATGTACGTTGTGTTGTGGAAGCACACATCAAGAAGCATGCATGGTAAACCGATTCCAACAGCTAGAAATAGCGAGAAAGACTTGGAATGGCCAGGAGATAGTAACACCCATGACAACATAACACATTCCGAACTTCAACAACTTGTAAACACAAAACAATCAAAAAGAAAACCTCAGAAATATTTTTGCGACTTACTTCACAAAATGAGATTCCCCTTATGTATCATGTATCCATGTAAAGGTCTTAGTGCATGTATTTTTAGCAGTCCAGTGAAGCCCTGTTTTCTGTTTGATAATCGCAGAGTTCAAGGAGTGATGGCCAGTCCATTTTATACAACACCTGCATAAATCCCGTCATCTGATTGATGGATCGTTGACCACATGGCATTGAATTATTTTTACACACAGCTAGCACACGATGCGTGCACAACGCACTCGCAGAGTGCAAAAAATTTATAACTGTGCATTAGAAATGGATAACGAACAGCTCCGGATCAATTGTACGGCAGCTTATGGAGGCACAAGTTTCTTTTATGACAAAATGATGAGCAATCAAGCTCTTACATGTACATGTAGCTCCACTGTTCACAGTCGTACAAAATAATTACAAGAACTTGTTTTGTAATAATGCCGATGCTGCCAACATATGAAAACAGATACAATGCAGCCAAATGATTAAACAAGCTCAAAATATCATGTTGAAAAATGAGCAGATTCACAACTGGATAACTTCCAGTTTGAATCAGTTAATTCACCAAGCTGTGCTCAGAAAATCAGATGATGGGGATTTATACAAGTGTTGTATAAAACAAATAATAAATGTTTCGCATTCGTGGTAAGAGTAACTCTATTCGGTGACTAACGGTATGTTCCACTCGCCTGTTACCTGTTGCAATTATTCTAACCATTGCACTCATAAAACGTTCATTATTTACCAGCTGATGCACCACTGTGTAATATAAAAAATCTCATGTCAACAATTTTGCATGTTTTACTTGGGACATATTTGGACTTGAAAGTGCCAGAAGCAAAAGTGCCGTGACAGGAATTTATGGCGTAGTCGCAGCACGGCATTCAACATGGCCGCCACCATGCATGGGCTTATACTAAATGAAAAAAAAATCTTATTTTTTTTAAAATTAAAATTGGGGGTGGGTCACAACAGCTTGGAAATCAAAATTTCAAAACATCGAAAATTTTGAAGGGCCTCTTATTTGTTGGGTGTGATTGGTTGATCTGTTCAGTCTCTCGAGTTTTACGATCAGTTGTCACATTGCACAATTTGCTAATATTTCCACCATAGGTAGTTTATTTCTGCACTTTAAGAATCTTTTTTATCAGGTAACATCACTGCTCATCCATTTTTAGTAGGCCCAGTCGAACTGACCACCATGACCACCACAACCATGGCAACAGGAACTTTTAAAGTCAATGAAAATTTAAGTTTCCCAGGAATGTGCAACTTTCCGAACAAATGTGATGTGACCCTTCACATGGTGAGCTGAGCTTTGTCATTTGGGTTCATACATGTACATGTAACACACCCAAATGTAGGTACATGTATAACACCCACACCCAAGTTAAGACATTTCTTATTCTTACCTCACACAACTGTCCTTTTACAATTGAGTGTCTGTCCCAAACAAGCTACTCCAGCTTTAAATCACTCCTGAATGTTCGTAAAACTTTTGGTGCAAACTTTAACAAAATTCTAAAATTCCATTTTTTTACATAGAGAACTTGGAGGAAAGCCTTCAAATGCTATACTATAGAATTTTTTGTTCTTTTTTCCGCAAGAATTTCCATTTTTCTTTCTTCCCCAAGATCTCGCACTTGGGAAAATAAAGCTTTGAAAAGAGGGCTGATGTGATGTAAACCAGGCAAAAAAGTCAGCATTGCGCACTAAGGCCTGCATTGCATGTAGGCCTACATCATGCAAATGGGTTTGCACTTTGGGTCTGCCAGTCACAGCAAAATGCCTGGCAGAAAGCTCTGCAGACTTTGTAAATTCCCACACAAACATCTTATCACAATACAGTTTGTAGGCCTATCACTGAATTTCTCTGGTTTCAAGTTTTAATTTGATGTAGACCTATACATTTGTTTGAATGTTTAATTTTGGGGTAAAATATAGCTACATGTACCAAATGACAAAGCTCAGCTCACCATGTGACTATAAATTATTTTAGAAACCTCAAATTATGGACACAATCTTGTTTTCAGATAGGCTTTGCCCTTGGCCTATCATAAGCCCTAGGCCTACATTTACCATGTTTATGATAGTACTTTGTACATGTTGTAGGTTGTCTCCTAATCAATTTGAAGATGATATGCACCAGAATTATAAAGCCCATCATCATGACTACGTAAGCTTGAAGGGTTTTCGCAGATCACATCACAGATGTTCTGCAGCTTTTAGCAACATTGCATCACACCTCGCTCGCGAACTCATGCCTAGCCTGCTCAATGACGATTGCGAAACTCATCCCAGGCAGATCGTAGTGGACCGATAATATCCCACGCATGCAATGTACTGCACATGTACAATGTACATGTAGGCCTCAGTACATTGAGTTTGGCCCAGGCGAACTGCAGCACCACACTGGCATAGCAACGAGATCTCGGGCTGCACGTTCCATGTGATTGCTGGCGCGGTACAAAAAACTCCATAAAATCTTCTGAAACTACAGGAGGATTTGAGAAAAAACAAACAAGCAAAGAATATTTGTGCTGCTAATACTTACTCCTGTTAACTGGCACATCGAGGGAGGATTTAAGTCCAAAACAACGGAACGAAAAAGTAGCTCTTTTCTCGACGGACGATGCTAACACGGTGGCTCACGGATAATGCATGCATGCATTGTGGCGCGCAGAGTTTGTGTATCGTGTACGGCACTAGCACTGCGCGTACTTCGTACACTGAATGGAATTTCGCAATCTGTACACACACGCGCGGGTCACCAACCGATTTACTACTACGCCCAGGTCATTCTAGGTCTGCACGCAGCCGCACTTGTTTCGATTAAATGTTAATCTAATTTGTGAACAGGTCATTTGGCTGCCGTACCACTGCCAGATAACTTGTCCAGCAATGAAGTAACAATTACGGCTTTGTGTTTATCAGTTTCGTATTGTTTTCATTTTTCTTATTTCATTGCGGCGAACCACACATCATAAAGTACAAAAACGTACAAAATAGTACATGTAAATGAAAAAGAATAAAAGAACACTATCAATTACCGGTAGATCTGCGATGGCGAGACTAGACTGAGGGGCTGTGTAACAGTCTGAGTCCTGTCTGGCACAGCCTACAAAACAAATTCCAGAGAATGAAATCGTGCCAAATAGGTTGATATGCACCAGAATTATAAAGAGTTTGTGTATCGTGCATGTACGGCACTAGCACTGCCCGTACTTCGTACACTGAATGGAATTTCAAAATAGTACATGTAAATGAAAAAGAATAAAAGAACACTATCAATTACCGGTAGATCTACGATGGCGAGACTAGACTGAGGGGCTGTGTAACAGTCCTGTCTGGCACAGCCTACAAAACAAATTCCAGAGAATGAAATCGTGCCAGATAGGTTGTAGAATAAGTCTTCATAATATTTTTAAAAATAACTCACGTCAAATCCTAAAAAAAACCTTCAGGCTGAAGTTTTTTAGGATTGGATGTGAGCAAAAATTTTTATCTTTTAAGACTTAATTCCACTAGTTCAGGGTCAGTTACTTCGCAAATGTTTCATTTAAAGTTCAGAGGGATGTAAACCTTTGCCAAGTTAATGAGTACTTTTTGAAAGATTTCCCATTTTCCAATAGTTCTAAGCTGACCTATTTTATTGGTTTTATAAGGGAAGCGGAAGGCTGAGACAAATCAAAACTCGAATGCTCCATTCAAAAGGAGCGCGCCCTCTAATGCATAAACCAGGTTTAAATCTTTAACTAAAACCACAATGAGAATATAGCGCGGGAGATGCAAACAAAGGGAAGGCATCTTACGGCGCTCTGTGAGTGCCATCCGACTTGTTCAGATACTGAGATAATTTATCTTTGTAAGTCGACTTATGAAGCGTATTTAGTCGATTTAACGAGATAAATGATGTAGTTTAGTTGACTTCCTAAGTATAGTAAGTCGACATCACGAGATATTTTATGACATCAAGCCTGCTTCCAGGGTTCCCTATATCGACTTGGCGAAATAATTTATGTTATTAAATCGACTTCCTAATTCAGGTAAGTGGACTTGGCGAGATAATTTATGTCATCAAGTTTACTTCCAGAACTCGGTTTGTCGTCTCAGAGAGATGATTTTTGTTTTCAAGCCTACTTCCGGATTTTGCTTGTGTCAAGTTGGCGAGGTAAGTTAAATACTCAAGTTGAATTCCTAATTCTAGTAAGTCGACTTGGCGATACAATTATGTCATCAAGTCTACTTTCAGAATTCACTAATGTCGACTTGTCGAAATAAATTTCGCTGTCAAGTCGATTTCCAAATTCTAGCGAGTCGACTTGGCCGAGCGAGAAAATACACTGCAGGTCACGTTGAGTAGTCAGTTCATGCCTGCATGTTGTACACTTGATGACATGGATTATCCTGCCAAGTTGACTTACTAGAATTATGAAGTCAACTTGCAACATTATTTATATGGCCAAGTCCTCACAGTGAATTTTAGAAGCAGACTTGATGACATAAATTATCTCGCCAAGTCGACTTACTAGAATTAGGAAGTCGACTTACTAGAATTAGGAAGTCGACTCACTGACATAGAGTATCTTTTCAAGTCGACCTACCAGAATTAGGAAGTTGGATTGACTACATAAATTTTCTTACCAAGTCGTCTTACCACAATTGTAAAGTCTACTTGACAACAAATTATCTCGCCGAGTTGACACTCGCGAATTCCAAAAGCAGACTTGATAACATAAGTTATCTCGCCAAGTCGTCTCACCAAATAGGGGGTGACTACATAAATTATCTCGCCAATATATAGGGAACTCTGGAATCAGGCTTGATGTCATGAAATATCTCGCGATGTCGACTTACTATACAGTTAGGAAGTCGACTTGACAACATACTCGACTAAATACGCTTGACAAGCCGACTTACTAAGATAAATTATCTCGGTATCTGAACAAGTCGGATGGCACTCACAGAGCGCCGTAGTACCTTTCGAGAACAACCAAAATAACCTCGTTGAAAGACGTATCGTGGATAGCGCGCGCACTTTAATTGTTCGACTGGTGAGTCGTCCACAGTGCGTAGTGACTGTGTCATTTTGGTTGTTCTCTAAGAGTGCTTTCCCAAACAAAGCCACGAAGGTCACTCCACTGGCTACCCCCAGAACTATGGGGTCCGACGTCCGCTCCGCTCCCACGAACCCCACAGAAAGTGAGCCTTTTTCGCCGCAGGCTATGCATGACGTTTAACAGGGTACGAACAGGGATTCCATTATAGTTGTGTACCCACAGAAATGCTGCTTCTTTTCCCCCAAGAATTTTATGTAAGATAGCTTACATACCTTCGTTGTGAGAACCAAGAAAGAAAAGGGCCAAAACCACGCCGTTTCCCCCACCCCCCAAAAGGGCAAATACTTCCTGATCAGCGTCTGAGAATCATGCGGTTCACGTGTACTTTCGAAGACGAGCCACGACCAAATGGTTGACGACGCTGCAGCCATTTTCCCTACGTGTGTGTGTAATTCTTAGCCGCCGGGGAGCGGAGCGGACGTCGGACCACACAAGATCAGTTCTGGGGGGTATATCCGATGGCCCGATCCGATGGCCCGGACCAATGGCCCGCCCGCACAATCTGGGCATACACCATGTTATGGGAAAATGTTTTTTATTGCTATAATTGAAAGGAGACAAGTCTTTTCAAGGTTAACAGCTCATTTAATGATTCAGTTATCCAAACATTTTTCAAAGAGAAAAAAAATGTAAAACCATAAAATTCAAATAATACACTCAGAAGGTTTGCTCATAGAACAAGATCTCAAGTAAGCCTTAAGATTCAATAGTTTTTGAAGTACAATAAAACTGATTTCCAAAATTATTCATCTTCAGGCAAACTTGAATATTCTCAATTCTGATTGGTCGATCCATGGTAACAAACAGTGTGATATATAACTGTATTGCATGGTTCATATCAAACCCGTATAATGTGCTGTTCCAACTCAACGCACTGCATTATTTTTAGGCTAAGTAAAAGCAAATCGCACAACTGCAAAATTTAGTTAAAATTCAAAGGTGGCGCTTTCGATCGCATAGCGCGACGCAGTGGCGCTATACGAAATTTGCTTATCTTTACTGAGCGTCACGTTTGCTTAAAGATAAATTCATTATCACGTTTGTGGAACACACAAAACAATAATAATGTAGTGCGTCCCGGCGTGTCCCGCATCCGACTCGTTCGGGACACACACACACTACATTATTCCTTGTTCCATTTGCACTCGTGTGATAACTAATGTATTTAACAGTAAGGTTGCCTTTTTACAAATGCTCTAATCTCGCTAAGCTGGATCAAGGAATGAGCAAGGCCCTTTGCCATCGTGCAAGAAATTCTCTCCAGCAAACACTGGCACCTCCCTTGTACTCAAGTATAGAGGTCAGAGATAAGAATATAAAACAATTTGATTTGAAATAATTCTTCAGATTGGTTTATCCATGGCCGCAGCAGACTGTGTGGTATGCAACAGTCATACATAGGGGTGTAACGATACGTATCGTAAAAACGAAAAAAACACTAAGACGAAAGCCAATTTACAATTCACTTGGTAACTCACCAATGGTAGCTTACCAATGGTAACTCACCAATAGTAACTTACCAATGGTAGCTTACCAATGGTAACTTACCGATGGTAGCTTACCAATGGTAACTTGCCAATGGTAGCTTACCAATGGTAA